TGGTATATTCTGGTATAGTATTAATTCTGCTGAGGAGGTGGCCATTGTATATTTTTATAAGGCATATCTGCAACCAGGCCTCCCATGTTCCTAAATAAGATTATTCTTTAAACAAATGATGATAAAAATATTTAAGTGTTTAGAAATAAAGTGGTTTTATAATACAATTGTTTAAGCGGGTTTTCTAAAAAGCGTGCCGGTAAAATATTAAAAAAAATATAAAAAGCTAATAATAAGCTTCTAGACGAAAACAAGATTGAGGACAATATCTAGATTAAGAACATGGACAAAAACAAGATCAAACATTAGCAAGAAAAGGAAAACTATATGAGCAAGGATCAAACATTAGCAAGAAAAGGAAAACTATATGAGCAAAGATCAAACATTAACAAGAAAAGGAAAACTATATGAGCAAGGAAAGAACAAGATCAAACATTAACAAGAAAAAGAACGAATATGAGCAAGGACAAGAACTAAAACAATTAAGGACTAGACCAAGGGCAATTATGGACGAAAACACTTTAACATAAAATGAAAATAAATAAGCATGATCTACCTCGCAAACTGTTTGTACCAAGTTGCCTGATTATCGGCTTTAACTTTGGTATTGCTTGGGAAATCATGAAGGCCAGGTGCATGGATTATTGCAGGAGTTGGACGAAGGTCAACTTCTACCTGGGAGAATGCAATAATTAATTTTACCGCCTTTTTACCAACATCACCGACCTATGATTTCCCAATCAGAGGAACGTTAAGTGAAGGTTTTTGTGAAGTTTTAAAAAAAATTTGCGCAATTATCTCAAAAGACGATAAAATTGTCTACAAATATTTTTTCGGGAAATTTGAAAATGTCCCAAGGGACGTTATTGTAACTTAACCTCCCTCTGTTGTGGGAATCAAAGGTCTGTAAAAATCGGTGAAAAACGTTCTATGTTTGAATGAATAAAGCTGAAAACCTGAGGACTGATTGTCTACTCCGTTATTTCTTTTAATCATAAATTTTCAATAATTAATGTTTTAAGATTTCTACAGGGATCATGTTTAAAGATAAACGGATTACAAATTAAATTATCCATTGCGACATTTTATACTATTTTTTATTTAATTTATTTTTTTATTCGAGACTGTTTTTCAGATCAAGAAACTAAACCCAGGAATATCTAACTTTATAGTGGGCTAAAGCAAGTGAGTAAGAGGGGGGGAGGTTAAAATAAACATTTTTTAAAGTAAAAGTTTTGATGGAAAGCAGTTTTCAGGAATTTGAACTTGAATTTCTATTTGTAAACACGTTAGATATAATATGTCTCTAACGTTTATCCAACATTTCTGAAAAATATAAATTCATCTAATCCATTAATTACCGATCAGCAACTCACTAAATTCATTTTTGGAAAGTAGAATTTTAGATACATTTTCTTGAACTGTCACGTAAAAAAACAAAGAACAAAAAGCTCATAAAAACTATAGTGATAATGACAACAAAAATAATAAAAAATTATAATATTGAATATAATGATAATAATAAAAATAATAATAATAATAATAATGATAATAATAACAATAATAATGATAATAATAATAATGATTATAATAATAATAATAATTATTATTATTAT